TTATATAATAGATTGAATTGTTATAGACCTCAATCATTTTTTATTTGTATTAAAGTAGTTGCATATTAATTGTATCCATTTGAATTTATGAAGATCCATCTTTTATTTTATATATTTCATCTTAAACCATACAAGATAATGGATATACTAAGAACAAGACAAATATTTAAGAACCTTGCCAATATGGCAAAGAAGGTTGATGGTTTTATTGACGACATCTAACAAAATTAAAAGTAAGAATTAAAAAATTCTATGCTATAAAAGCAAAGCATGGTCAATGAAGTTTGTATTCTATATTTTATTATTTTTTTGATATTTTTATATTTGGAGTATTAAAAAGATAAAAAATTACAAATTAAAAAATTTATTTAAGAAGCCATTATTTGTTGAATTACTAAATTAGCCATTGGAATTATTATAACCTTTAAGATAATATAATAGAAATAAAGATCTTCAAGAACAACATATTTTTCTTTGAAAAGATAGAAAAATACAATGCATTTGATATCACAACCATTGAAGATATTTTTTATGCTTCATAATATTATTAGAGATAAGAACCATTGTGAATGTTATTTTAAATATTTTATTTTAAAAAAATATATAAAGACCCCAACAATAATCAAAGAATAGGGTGATCTTTTTGCCTTGATATAGAATACTATCAATGATTGAGAAGAAATATTAATTACCTTTAAAAAAATAAAGATTAAAATATATAGCAAATACAATTTATTGCATATTACATTTCTTCAATATATTATTATTCTTCCTTGTAGAAGTTGTTTTTAGAAAGGAAAGTGATATTACAAACATACATATCAATACTAATAATTACTAATATAAGAGGAATTATATAAAAATAAGTAAAAATAAGTAATTTAAAAATAGTTTGTAGAAATTTTTTTTAAAAGATTTATAGACATAGATTTGACTTTTCAAATATTTGTAGGTAATAGATGATTCAAAAATTTAGCCAACAAATTAGCCACATGGTACACATATTGTCTACTTGTGGTATAAGTTAGACATATGGTGCACATGTTGGAATTTTACCTTACAAGTTAGACTTGTGCTTTGTAAATTAGATTTGTATGACCTATAGAATGTCACTACATAGCTTCTTAGTAAGATAGTATGTATCGAGATAAGAATAAAGCCTCTCTTATTCTTATCAATATCTTTTTTATTCTAAGTTTTTTTAAGAGTCTCTAGTCTACTTGTCTTTGACAAAAGTCATTTCAATTTTAATATTATAATTCTTTTTTAGTAGAAATTTATTCTTTTGTAATAATACAAGAGTGTATTGACTCTTTGAATTTTTTGTGATTCATATCTTTTACAATTTGCCATGTCCTGTATATGTCAAAATTTATCTTAAAAATTAGGCATATATCTTATAAGTTTGATACTTTTTATATGGCCTATAAGATATCATGTGGTTTTTTACTAGATAATATAAATGAAAGCAAAAAACAAACCTTCTTCACTTTTATGATTATTTTTATTATATTTTTATTTTATTTAATTTTTTCTAGTCTTTTTATATTTAGCAATAGTTAAATTACTTTTAATTCTATACTTATCTATTGGTTGTATACTTTTTATCTTTTAATGATATAAAAGTATATTATATTTTTAATTTTATTTTTTAATATTTTATGTCATTGATAGAAAAATAGACTAAATTTAAAGATTTATTAAGATTTTTTGAATCAATTATAGCTTATAAATAGAATATAGTTAAAAAAATTATATTTTATGGTATTTTTTTAATCTAAAAAGAGCTTCTACTTAATTTTTAGAGCCACAGATAGAGAAAGATAAGACAATACAGATTTGAAATGAATAAAATTATCTTTAGATTAAAATTAAAAATATGTTTTGTAAAAATTATAGTAATTTTATTAAATTAATATTTAATGAAAACAATGAAAATACAAAGATTGAAATAAAATAATAAGGTACAAAAATAACCGTACAAAAAATATATTTTAAAAATTACACTATAAAATTAGAAAAAATAATTAATAAAAAATTTATAAGATTTTCTTATAAAAGATTTTTTTTAAAATCTTAGAGTAAAAAGCCAAGTATTACTAATAAGAACTTTTATACTATATTTTAATTTTTAAGTAGAATATTCTTAAAAACTTATAAGATTATGTAAGACTTACATATCTACAAGTATAAAAAATTTAAAGTTCACTCAACAAGGCGATTAAAAGATATGTTTTATTAAAAAACTATTTAAAATTAAAATTTGTAATATTTTTGAAGATTTTTTGAAGTTTTTTAGAATTAAAAAAATATATAATATCTTTATGATTTTAATATATTTTTTTAATTTTATTCAAAAAATTAAAATTTATTTTTAAGATGTGAGGATAAGTTTAGCTCTCAATTTAAATTACAAGATAGCTTTTATTAAGAGTTACTTGTAATTGGTGTGAAGTAGAAGATATTACTAAGAAGAAAAAAATGAAAAAAAAGTCCAAAACAAGTGAAAGAAATACAACCAAACAATTACATACTCCAAAAACTGATTATATTTTTTTCATTAGATTTTGATCTAGTAAAAAATAAAAAATAAAAATTTAGATAAGTTTTTTTTTTCTTAATGAAATAAAATGAATAAAATCTAAGTTAATGTGAATAAGTAATAAATACTTTAAAATAAACAATAAAAATATATAAGCTAAATAAATATATTTTACTTTAAAGATAACTTGCATAAGAAATTAAGAGTTAAGTCTCATCAAGGCTTACAAGTAATATATATGGATATTCTAGAGAGGCTATAAGGATTTAGTCTTATCTTCCTACCTACATTCAAGGTGTTATATCCCATATCAAAGATGTGTATTTTTTTTCTTATAATTATTTCACTAATTACTTTTGTTTCTATTTTCTATTAATAAAATCATTTTTCTTACACTTTTTATTTTACCATAGTATTTAAAAATTTCTAATTATCTTAGGAATCTTAGAAAGCCTTCAAATCTTTTTCAAATTTTTCATAATGGCCTTCCAAGGTGGTAAAATCGATTTTATATGCTCATGTAGTAAAAGAATAAATTTAAATCAATTAAAAATATTATTTTTTATATAAATAATTAAAAAAATATGAATTTTTTTTCCTATTAATTAATATCTATAGATTTTGAATGAGTAATTCAAGTATATAAAAGGACAATGTAGATATTGATTTTTATAACTAAACACTAATTCTTGCCATTAAAATAAATTACTAAATCAACTAAGATAATTACTTCTAATATTTAGTAAATTAATTTTTATTATTTTTTTCTAATAAAACTCATGTAATTTATATTCCTTCTTAATTCTAATAATTACTCAAATATTTAAATATATTCTCTATTCTTAATATTTTTCTATCTAAATAAATTAAAATCCTATTTTTAATAATTAATCAATTAGATTGTATTAGCGAGTCTTATATAGGATTTTATATGTTTTGATTAAGACTTCTTTGGAATTTGATTAAGAATTTTAGAAATTTTAGGAATTTTTTAAAGTTCTAAATAAGATTTTTAATGTCTATTTTAAGATTTTTATGGATTTATCAAGATTTCTTATTATTAGATTAGAATTTTTTAAAATAAATTTTATGTATTTTATGATTTTTTTAACATTAAATTTAGATCTGTAAAGATTTGCTTGGAATTCTTTTAGGAATTTTTTAGAATTTATTTAAGAATTATTTATTATTTACAAGATTTATGATTAATTAGAACTATGATTTTAAAAAAGATTAGAGTTATCAAGAAGGATTTTGCTATAAAAAAAATAATTTTAAGAAGAATTATTTAAGCCTTTGATTAATTAAGCCTTTTGTGGTTAGTGCAACAAAATTAATATTGCATCAAAGTCCAACCATTTGAAACTTTATAAAATAAAAATTTTAATCATTGTTATGCCCTAATTTATTTTTAGTTTTATTCCATTTTCTAGTTTGATTTTAATGCAAGAAATAAATTATATGTTTCTATAGTTAAAAAATAATAATAATCTATGCATTTTATATTGTTATGGTAAACAAATAATACAATTGTGATCACTATTTTAATTCACTTTGAAGTGATTTTTAGTAGTAAAGATTTGAATGTATTGAGTTTGAATACATGTCTCACAGTTTCATTAAAAATTATAAATAATTGAAAAAATGAAAAAAACTTGCCTCACAACTGCAACAACTCAAATTTCTATTCGATTCTTATTCCAGAAAACCCCTTCAAAACAAAATCTTCACATCTCTTGTTTCTCTCCTCTTTGTTGCCCAAATGAACAAAGAAATACAAGTAGACCCCCAAGCTTTGTCTCCGTTCTCGAAACCCCTCTGCTCCATACCCATTGCACAAAATCCAATCTTCCCTTTTACCCACCAATATTTTAAGACCTTAAAAGTATCAACTCAACGCAGACGAAAGAATCGTTGAGGTGGCCACAGCAGATGTGCACTTATGAACATACATAAGCCGTGCCATGACACGGTGAAGGTACATAACGTGCTTTGTCGGGGAAAGGCAGAGCTTACGCCTGATGGAAAAATCTAGGCCACTGTCCACGTCCTGATTAAACCAGTAATTCAGACCTATCCAAGTCAACTTCGTGATATCTTACTTCCACTTACGAACCGGCAATGCGATGAGTAAAACAATGAACTCATTTCGTCCCTTGCAACGAAGCCTTCAACACCATGTCAACCCATTCAAATGTGCTGTAGAAAATGGTTTCGTTTCCTGCAGTGACTTGCATGGGATCATAATCTATTACAGCCGACCAGATCATCAAGTGCGTGACTTGCTTACGGCAAATTTGTTCAAATTAGTTCAAATTCGTCAACTGAACCTCGCATCGATAAAGCTAGCCATGATCGGGTGTCCTTAGGAAGAGATTCCAGATCTCCGCGGTGAGTAATGCGTGGTGGAAAAATTGGCCTGCTCATCACCAAATGAGACGAAACTTCATGAGTGGTTCCATAACCACTTGATCTGCGACTGCACGGTTCGAAAGTGGTGAATGTAGTCACATACCGATCACATTCAAATCGGAGTGCGAGGGGAGCTTGTCTTGTCAGAGATATATGGCGTATAAATCTTGCACCAGGTCGGAGCGCTTCACCATTCAAACCAGTCTTGCGTATCTGCACGGTGCCCAGCCGCGCCGGTGACATCGTGTGGAGCGGGCTAATAGTACCTGGTCGGCGGGTCTACTTTCGTTCATTCCTACACATCTATCTCTGGCCCAAGTCTTTACTGGTTCTAGCTCCGCAGCACATCATCGGCGATGACGACTTCGAACACCATGAAGCTGGCCGGCATCTACATGCTTGTCCTCGCATGCTTGGCTCCCACTTGGGTGCATGCGCAACGTGAGTCTATGATCACATTTGCATTCGTAGACAGTTGTGCATGTTGTTGCTGCTTTATTGATTTAGGGGCTGCATATCACCATCAACCGTCACTGTCGTCATCTCTTCATTCGATGGCTGTAGTCTTCAGTTCAATGCTTTCTACTGTCGCATAATAGTGCTGCAACTTCGGCTGAAACGAACAATGAGCTGAATCCTTGGAAAACTCCCTAGTTGACGAACACTTGGTTTTCGGTAAGAGCTTTCTAACGGTGGTGATTGTTGTATGACTACTGGATGTTGAAGTCAACCCTGCAACAACGTGCGAACCTGTGGTTCGCGGCACCAACTACAGACAATGCCCAGCAGGAAGAGGGTCCACCTGCTATGTGGAGGTGCTTGGAAATAATTTGAATAACTTCAGAGGGTCTGGGTGCGGGACTTGCAATCGACAAGGCAGCACATTCCTATGTACCGATTTCACTTTCATATTTCGATCTGCTACTCAGGTCGAAGTCAGGGTCAACAGTGCTCGGGTGACTAGGCTGAACGTTGCGACAATCATAGCCGGAAACGGTAATAATGCAAGAGTTTGCCAGACCACAGGAAGCCCGGTCGGCGGAAATCCGTTCCGGCTCACATCCCCGGCAGGAAACATCAATTCTGTCCGAGTCTGCTTCAACCGTAAGTTCTCTCACACTTGTCCTCATGATCTACCCCTATTTCGACATGTAGTGCGCTTACAGACCCGCCAACATATGGGATGCGCACCCCGTAGAAGGTTTGAAATAGCTACTCATGGTTCACATGGAACCACCAGCGAACCCCTTGAGTTCTTTTGTTTCCAGGCCGCAATGTGAGACATGAGCATATATATATATATATATATATGAAGATGGAACGGGTCTCCTGAATCTGAAGATTTGCAGGCAGTGGTAGTATGTTGGTTCCTCGCTTGCTGAAAGTCCTAGGTTTGCTGTGGGTTTCTGGTAAGTTCTTTCTGGTGTGACGAGCCGTCTGGCGTTGCGATACCAGAGCTCTAGAGGGGCCAGTTTTCAGACAGTTCTGGTTTGTATCTCAATCCTCACATGAAATTGCATTTGCAACAGCCGTCAACTGCGGTTACGGCGGTAGCCTGTGCGGCGACCCCAAGATTGTGGGAGGCGATGGCGTCATGTTCTACTTCCACGGCTACAAGAACGCTGACTTTTGCCTCGTGTCGGACAGCGACCTCCAAATCAATGCTCACTTCATCGGCAAGCGCCCGGCGAACCGCAGCCGCGACTTCACATGGGTGCAGGCACTAGGCTTCGTGTATGGCCCCAACGCTCTGACCGTCGGCGTGAAGAAGGTGGCGAAGTGGGATGCCGCCGTGGATCACCTGGAGTTCACGCTCAACGGGAAGGCTTTCACCGTGGAAGAGTCATCGTGGAGCTCCCCGGATGAGACCATCACGATCAACCGCATCGGTGCGAGGAACTCGGTGGACTTGGTGGTGCGACGGAAGATGGGAGTGACCCTGACCGCGGTACCGATCGGACATGAGGAGAACCGGGTGCACAAGTACGGCATCACCGACGACGACTGCTTTGCGCACTTCAACATGCAGTTCAGGTTCTACAGCTTGTCCACGCACGTGAACGGAGTGCTCGGTCAGACGTATCAGGAGGGATTCAAGAACCCAGTAAAGAGGGGCGTGGCGATGCCGATCATGGGCGGTGCCGACCGTTACATCACCTCTTCCCTCTTGGCCACCGACTGCAAGGTGAACCAGTACTCGGCGACGCCGGTCGAGATGAAGGACCAGTCCCATCTGCCCAACCTGGCATCGTGCGGAAGCGGCACATCCGGGATCCTCATGTGCAAGAGGTGATGCGGAAGAAACCCTTTCGATCTTCGTCACAATTCAGTCCTTACTTGCGGATTGCTCGGACAGCTTCAATGCTCGGTGACCAGACGGTTGGACCGTTTGCCCATTAGTTTCTTGTGTTCGTTATATGATAGTAATTCTCGACACTTGTGGATCTGGCAGCTAGGGTTTGTGAGCTTGATTCAATAATCTGGATAATTTTGTTAAATGCCCAAAAACCATTGAGTTTGTGTCTAAATAAATGATATGTTTGTATAGAAATTATTAATTGATGTTGCGGCAGAATTCTGTCGACCCCGGTACATTTCATTGGTTTGAGTTTGTTTGTTAATTCATTAGATCGCTTTGAGTGTGCATGGTGTTTGTCTCTACAGCTTGTAAAGATGTTCCATTTCCAAATTTTTCCATGTGAGTATGAGATTCCGTTATCAAGCAGGTGGAGTTTTTGTCCATGTTTTCTTGTTTGTTGAAGTGTAATTTCATGGATGTCTCACCTCGTTCGTTTTGTAGATTGTGAGTGTTTAAATGTGCCTTACAGTGACTGAAGCATATCTCCCCTAGTATTTTTTTTGGCCAGTGAATTTTATTTTAGGAGAAGTTACATGTATGCCCCTGGAAGATGTATTTATATTAATATCCATGTATCTTTAGGAATTACATACATATCCTTATAATTCTGTAGGACAGCCACCACGTTGGCAACAATTTGCAATCGACTAAAGTTGAATCCACAAACAATCTGTTATCTTAAAAGATTGGTCTTGATTTTCTACAGTCGTGAAGATTCTAGAACCATTTTGTAAGAGGTCCTCTTGCCGATTGTCATCTTTGATTGCAGAGCTTCTGTCAAACTCTTTTCAACATAAATCTTGACTAGAACATTCATTTTGGAAGAGGTTATCATGGACAAAGATTGTAAACTAATACCCTGTCATTTCCAAACGCTTTATTTCTTGAAGTAGAGTTGATACTTGGAGATAATTCATCTTCCAGCTGTGTAGTACTGACTAAATTGAAAACAGTGGCTCCATACAAAACCACCCATAAGTTTTAGTATTGTTTGCTCATAGCAAAGAGCTCTCATGATTATAATTTTTAAAAAAATTGCTAATACAGTAACGACTAAATTTAAAAAATATTGAGCATCTAAATCTAAGAAGGATATCTATCAAACATGAATCCTAGTGCATGCAATAAAAAAAGGCACAAGAAAAGAAATGCTAAACAAATCAATAAAAATGAACATATAGGGAGGAAAATTCCTTGCACCAAAGAAGTAGAGTAGTGTATAGAGATTGCACTACTTTGAATGTCACAAGGACAATTTAGATGCTTTCATTTTGAATATGACAAAATAAGTATTCTTCAATCCAACCTACATTTAAATTTTGAATATTATGTCACACATTACTATTCACATTCTTCTTTTGCAAATTATGAAAGAAAAGCTTTTACACATATAGATTGTTTCTTATACTTACTAGGTTTGCTATCTATATGCTTATTTACATAAAATCTCTTGTCTAATTTTTAGATTTGGATATTTTGATATTATCTTTTAATCCATATCTTTGGAAATTAAAAAATATTTAAAAAAAAATTCTTGTTAATGGTGGCAATAATAATAAAGTTTTTAATATCTTCTTATAATGCTTATATGTTAAAAATATGAATAAAAAATAGTCAAAATATCAATGCACTCTTATGTCATTCAAAGAGAGTAGATATTTAATCAAAGATAGTATAATATTAAAATTAGAATGGTTATTGCCAAAGATGAGAAGACTAAAGTTTCTTAAAATAACACTATAAAAAAGAAAAATATTGATGAGAGTAAAAGAGGCCTCATTCTTGCTTCCATCATCATATTGTAATACAACCATTAGATAAAAGAAGAAAAAAAATTATATTATAGAAGAGCTTAAATGAATATATTTTAGTAAATTATCTTAGAAATATAATTAATAGATAAGAAAGTAATAAAAATTAATAAGTATTAATCCTACTAATTTATAAAAAAAGCTTTTACTTACTTTGTAAGGCCATAAATAAAAAAAATTAAATAGATTAAAAAAAACCATATAAAATTCTTTAAAAGAAATTAAAAATAGGTATCAAAAAAATTTATTCCAAAATATTAAGAATTGATACCTAAAGAGGACCAATTGTGAACCAAGATCAAAATCAGACCTCAAGTCACAAAACCATGTACTTACAAATATTCCAAGTTTCTTTAGTTGATTAAAGAATAAGATTTGGTAGGAGACTAGTGATAGGTTTTTTAGAGTTGGTTTTATATGATTTGGAAATATATTGAATTTTTGAGGGCTTTTCAAAGTAAAAAAATCACTTATTGGTTTTGGATTTTGAGAAATAAAAAGAGATTTATGATTTTGAGTATTAAGTGAGTGTGGTAGGACATTTATAGATGAAATTTTATACATTTTTCATTATGATTTTTTTTAATACATTTAAGAAATTTAATTTCAATCAAAAAATTAAAACAAAGGATATAAGAGTTTTATTGGATTAAGATTTTAAATTTATGAAATTTAAGATTAATGAGGGTTTTTATGATCTTAAAAAATTTATTAGTTTAATTGAAGAAAAAATTAGTGATAGCAATCTGGAATTATATATCTACATACTAGCTAAATTTCAAAGCAATTGAATAGTTTAGCAAGGAGAAATTATTGTTGAAAGATCAATATCTAGGTTGAAAATAGAAGGTAGCCAATATTCAAGAGGTTTAGAAGTTTTTCTTTTGATTGATAAGTTTGATTTTTTTTCAAATTTTGTATCATTTTTAATCGCTTATAAATTGAAATATAGGTGAAATTTGAATTGAAATAAATAGTTTGAATAATATTTATTGAGATTCGAAAATAGCTATAGGAATTGGTTAGGATTTACTTTGAATTTTTTTGAATTTTTTTAGGATTTTTTTAAGGTCTCTTTAGGATTTAATTAGGATTCAATTAGGATTTGGTTAGAATTTAGGATTTATTTAGGATTAATTTAGGATTACATAAAAATTTGATTAAGATTGATTTAGGGCTTCATTAGAATTTTTTTAGAATTGGTTTAGGATTACATTAGGATTTGACTAAGATTTGTTTGGAATTTCATACGGATTTGTTTAAGATTCATTTAAAGATTCTATTTTTAATATTTTAAAAAGATTTCTTTGATATTTTTTTAAGATTTTTTATTATATATATATATATTTCTTTAAGGTTAATTTATTACTTCTTTTTGTTTCATTTATAATTTCTTTAAGACTTCTTGATGCATTTTCAAGCAAAATTCATAATATATGACATTATATAAAATTTCTAACTAAAAGATATGTGTTAACATTCAATAGGACATCTAACACATATTCAATTTATAAGATATATGTGTAATTTGTAAGACAAGTTTTTTATATGTGCACCATACAACCAATTTGTACCTCAAATTACCAATATATGCTACACATAGCTAATTTTTTGGCCAAGTTTTCAACCTATCAATTACCTACAAATATATAAATAGTCAAATTTGTATATTTAAAGTTTCTAAGAAGTTGTTCTATAAGACATTATCAAATTTACTTATATCTATTTATTTCTGTATAATTTCTTTAATCTTAGTGAATATATATGTCCATAGTATTATTCCTCTTTTTAAGAGTGATGTTGATGAAGTCTAAGATGCAACAAATTATATTTGATACATATTTTAATTTTTTTTCTTTTAAAAGTAGTTAATAGGTCTTCTTAGCCATAAATAATATCTTATATTAAGGCATGATAACCACCTTTTTATTTAATCATTATTGAGGCCTTTATCACTTTCTTCAATTAAAACATTCTTAATACCATCAATGGTGGTTCTTACCTTAAATAATATCACCAAACATTGGGAGTCTCTTCCAATTTTGGGATGTCAAATACGTTGTATGTCACCATCTATTTGAAGAAAAACATATTGTTCTTAAAGGTCTTCATTTTTATTAGAGTGTCTAGAAGGTTGTCACAATCTCCATGTGCTATTTGATTAGTTAACAAATGATAGTTCTTAAGTTGAATCTATTTGTTGTTGATTTTTTATCTCCTTAGAACTAAAAGTACATAAAAACCACAAATAAGAATATAAGATATAATATAATCTTTATTGATTCTTATTTATTTTATAACAAAGAATTTCTTGACTCTTTATTTTAGTATTAATAGGTGTAATTGTATCATGGATAGATACATATTAATCAATAATTATCTATATGATTAGATAAAAATAAGTAAAAATAGGTTGATTCTATAATATCTTCTATAAAAGCTTTTTAGAAGCTTCATAGATATTGTTTTGACTTTATAGGTGTCTATAATTGATTTTTTAGATTAAAAATATTGTCAACAAGTTTGCCATGTGCCACACATGTTAGTTGTTTGAAAAATATGGTAACTATGTCGCACACATATAGGAAACTTGCCTTATAAGCTAAGGCATGTGTCTTCAAAGTCAACATGTATTAGAGATCTTATAAAATTTTGCCATGTAGCTCATAGTTAAATAGTATATATAGAGGTAAGAGTGAAGCCTTCTTCACTCTTGTCAACTCTTTTCTTGCTTCTAGTCTAGATTCAAGAATCTTTAATTTCCTTGTCTTTTGGCAATAGCCATTTCATTTTCTTTTTAATATACATAATTCTTTATTTTTATTTTGTTTTACTTATTTATTTATTTCCATCAAATTCTTGTCCCTAATAGATTGACATGAGTATACGGTCATGGACATACTCATCTAAGCTAGTAATTACATAAATAAATAGATAGAAGTAAATAAAAGTAGATAAAAATAAGTTAATTCTATAGTATTTGGTATGGAAGCTTCCTAGAAGCTTTATAGACACTGCTTTGACTTTACAGGTATCTTTAATTGACTTTCTCAATTAGAAACGTGGTCAAAAAGTTGGCCATGTGCCACACATGTTGTTAGCTTGAAGACCAAGATAACAACGTGGCCCACACGTAGAAAAACTTGCCTTATAAGTCAAAGCATGTGTCTTACAAAGTCAATACTTATTGGAGGTCCTATAGAATGTTGCCACATAGCCCTTAATTAGATAGTACATATAGAGACAAGAATGAAGCCTTCTTCACTCTTGTCAATTCCTTTCTTGCTTCCAGTTTAGTTTCAAGGGTCTCTAGTTTTCTTGTCTTTTGGCAATAGCCATTCTAGTTTCTCTTTGAATATACATACTTGTTTATTTATATTTTGTTATTTTTCTTTGAGTGAAGGCTCACTTGTCTGAATTACTTTTTCA